CCCTGGAGTCATTTGATGATCAGGTGAATTATATAGACTGCTACTTAGAACAGTGCTTGAAATGTAAAATTATAATAAAGTATACAGGGCTGCGATTACTAAGTGACACTCTCAAAACAGTAACATAAAATTTGGGATAAAGTAATAGGTATGTGTTTTTGTTAATATATTAATCATCAGTGTCTAATATCTGTTGTGATTTCAAAATATTGTTTAGCATAAATGATATTTCATATAGAAGTATTTTTGATTTCTACTGGTGACTAAGGTACCTCTGATATTAACCATGTTTTTTTCTGTTACATTTGTAATTGATGGTAATGCTAAATTTCAGTTAGAAGGTAGTGAAGGCTGGGCATAGTGGCTCATGCCTATAATCCTAGCACTTTGGGAGGGAAGCCGAGGCAAGAAGATTACTTGACGCCAGGAGTTCAAGACCAGCCAGGGCAACATAGCAAGACCCCATTTCTAAAATAAAACTAAAAATAAAAACTAGCTGAGCATGGTGCCATGTGCCTATAGTCTCAGCTACTTGGGAGGCTGAGGCAGGAGGATCATTTAAACCCCAGAAGTTTGAGTGAGTTTGAGTTTGCAGTGAGCAATGATCATGCCACTGCACTCGAGCCTGGGAGAGACAGAGTAAAACCTTGTCTCTTAAAAAGAAAAGACAAAGTTAGTGAAAATAGATATGTAACATTTTCCACTCCAACTTGAGTTCATCACCATCTTATTTCATATTCAAAAGTGATTAAAAATACTGATATTCTAGGACCACATTTTAATTTTAGTTTACTTCTGTTGGAATCCTATCATAGCTATGATTCTTTGTAACTTTTATTAGTCTCTTATTTAATCTGATGTTTGTTCAGAAGATAAATATTAACTGAGTTCATATTTTGGGTGTGGAATAGGTGTTGGCAGGAGAAGTTGAGGAGAAGAATACCATATTGAGTGAGTGAATGTTCCTGCCCTTAAGTAGCTGCTGAAATACTTTTTTTTTTATAAACTGAGATAAATTTTATTGAAATCTGAAATGGGTGCCAGCTCTCCTGAGTTTTACATTTTTGCCTATACATTAACATTTGGGAAATGCTGAGAAAATTCATCTTGCCTGATCATGAATCGCCTAGAGCTGTCACTAAAATAGAACTTCTCAGGCTCCTCCATGGAGAATGTTGAAGGATGTTCCAGGTGGGCCATGGATAAAATCTGTTTTTTAACAAATTTGCCAGATGGATTCTTATCATCAGGCAAAATTTAGAAAAGCTTAGCTGGGTAATACTTTAACATGTACGTAGAAGCACTTAGATGAGTCATACCTGTAATTATTTCATGAGAAGGGATTGTGTTATTTATGTCTTGTCTCCATTTCTGAGAAGAGTCTTCACTGTAGTAGGACAGCTTTGTGGAAAGGGCTGACATTATCATCAGACAGTTTTCTCTAAGGAAAAGGGGTTTGGTTTTCATTTTATCTGGCCCATGAATGTAGCGACTGTATTTTGTGAACCCAAAGTCTGATTTATTAACTTTTTGTGGGTAGGAATATTTATATAAGTATTCTTTAATGTATGTAACATATCACCTTTGGAAATACAAAATTATGTGAAGAAGGGAATAGACCAAAAGGTGATAAACTTAATTTAGTTTTATTATGGCCAAAATATATATATATATATATATATATATTAAAGGCCCTGGGAAAGTACTTTGCATGCGTATTTACTTTTTAGGAAGCAATAAAATGAAATAAGGGTTGCAAAGCACTACTCTGAGGTTGTGATCCTCCTTTTGCAGGTGAAGAAATTGAGGGTTACGGAAGCTGAAGAATGTGCCAAAGTCAGAGTTGGTAGAAAGCCCGAATTTGACTTCCATGTACTTCTGATGAGGAAGTCTATATATGTGGCTGTAACAGCCAGGCTTTTAAGTCTAAAGCCTGGTAGTGATCTGCCATGACATATCACGTTGTGAGTGAGGATGTTGTGCATATATGCATATGTGCCCACATGCATTTTTCTCATTCTCTGATGTTATTTTCTATCTTTTTTTGTGTCTGTTTCTTGGTTTGCCCAGCCAGCCCTCTTCCTTAAGTGTCAAACCAAGATGTTTATTTTTATTATGCACTTTATTTATTAGAAAGTTTTATGCCTACTATTTATGTGTAATTGATGATACAGATAATAAACTTGCATTCTTGTAAGTCATTTTAAGTACTTTTTTGTTTTTTACTTATGAATTTATGATGGTAGGCAGTAAAATTATACCCCACCTACCACCATCTAAATACTCATTAGAGATAATTATTCAAGTAAAAATAAATCTCATAAAATAATATAACTTGTGATCATTTACAATGACCCCCACAGCATGGAGAGGAAGGAAGTAAGCAATGGGTAGATATCAGTCAGCAGGTATTAATTTACTGGTTTAACTTAATTAACTTACTGGTTGCCTAAAACTGCCAAGTACCCTGGGTGATACGAATAACATGGTCTGGTCCAGCCCTTGCCAGTTTGTAGTTCTGGACAGTGAGAAGACAGCCTTAGTCCCTGGCAGGGATGGAGCTTTCAGTGTGGCGGTGAGTGTGGTTAGGCGAGGGCAAACCAGGTAGGTGAATGGAAGGCATCCTGCCTCCTGCTGCTGCTTGATCACATCAGGCACACTGTGTCCTCTTAGTCTTTGTATAGAGGTGGGAATAAGAAAAGAAGACACTTCAGCATTCAATATTCTGTTTAGCAGTGTTACAGAAAGTGGCCCGAGAATGACACAGAGTCTGAGTTTGGTTGGCTGACTTGTCACTCCTATTCCTGGGTCTGTAGAGCTCTATGGACTCTCACCAGGCCCTGTAGAAACTGTTAGGAAATTTGTACAAGGAGTTGGGCCTTTAGGTGAGAACAGAAGGGCCAGATGGCTGGGACACAGGGTTAATTCTTGGGGTCACAAGCTTCCACCATCTTCTCCTGGAACAGAGAGGACTTTATTACTCTTCTATAGTAGGCACCTGCACCAGTGGTCATGCTTAATAAAACGGGATTCGGAAGGGTCTCTCTTTAAGACCAGTAGTTCTCTCTCTATTCTTTATGTTTATGTTCTGAGGAATTTTTTCTTTTCTTTTCAGTTTGGCACCAGTTGTCTCTGATTCATTTTTTCTTGCTGTGGTTGTTACTTCCTTGGATTGAAATGCCCCCCACTTGACCCTCCCTCACCTCTCCCCTAGCCTCTGGACCAGTCAGAGGCTGGCTGATGAGTTTTTCTCCTTCCCGTGTACTCATGGTCATGGCCGTTTGGCCATTGCGAGCCAGCTCTTGGGTGGGACAGCAGCAGCAGGGCCGGGAGCTGAATGCCAGGCTCTCTTCTCAGGCAAGAATTAGAGCTGCTCCCTCACACAGCACTGGAGGTGGCATGAGAGGGTCCCACTGCCCTTCACGTCAGTGGCGCTTGCAGCTGGGACACCACTTATATGAGAAACTAGACTCTGGCAGTTCTTTATTGAGAGGTCTGAATATAACCAGTGTCAGATCAGAGCCATGCGTACCTTGGGTCTTTGCTGCCCTGAGTGTGTGCCATGGATGGTGTAGTAAAACCCAAAGAGGTCCATGCAACTCTGCTTACAAAGAAAGCATCCTGTTGTTATTACTTTTTAATAGCGTAAGCTACTGTTATGTTGTAACATTTTAATATATTATTAGGACAATAGTTTGTTTTCTATGTAACAGTAAACATTTAAATTGCTTGCTTTATACATCTGTATAAAATTCCGTTTAAGCAAAGATGTTATATTATTTTGGATACTTCTCAGAATCAGCAAAGCTGATTTATTTGAATAAATCATTTATTCATTTAACCCCTTGCACTCACTTGCTTTTTTCTCAATTCCTTTATTCTACTCGGGATTTAATTTTTTAAATACCCCAGATTTTACAAAGTGTGGCAGTAGAATAAAAAACTTCATACAAACTTATTTATTTGGATTTTTTTATATTTCAAATTATTGATACATTCAAAGAGTAATTTTAATCTTTATAATATTCGCTAACCATGTCGAGTCACACTCGACATCCGAGTGAAAAGGGTTGAGTCATTTATTTGAATCACTTTATTGTATCTCAAAAAATATTTTTCTCCTATGTGAGTGATGACTTGAAGATAGGGTAGGAGACGTATAAAAAATATAAACAAAAATACACACACACAATGTTTTTGGATGGGTCTTTTGCTTATATCTTTGAAAGACACATATTTAATTGTTCTCAGGTGGTTTGAACCTAATAGTTCAAATTTGCTCTTTTTTGCTTTAAGATATTATAGGGGTTTCCTAGCGTGTTTTTATGTTAGCTTTCTCCAAGAGCAGAAATGAGGGGAAAGGGAAAGGGAATTACTTATATTTGTGACTTCCAACTTAGAATGAGGTTAAAAAGAAAGAAGGATGTTATAGTAAGCCCATGAAGGGAAATACTGTCTCTAGTCTGACCGTACCTCTCCTTAACATTGTAAAGTTGCCGGAAAGAAGGCTTAAGGGGAGAGAGGAGTTGGCTTTGGAGGTTGAGAGAATTGTTTTTGGTGTGCATATACTTTTAGCCAGTGGTTTCCAATTTACATTTTATCCTTCATGAGTATGAACTAATTATTGCCCTTGAAGAACTCTGATTTCAGTGAGTGCAGGGACTATTTGCTAGCAGTCCTATAGAATAAAGGTTATATGTAGATATACTGTGTCTCATCATTTGAACAAATGTTTCACTTCAGATCCAAGAGAATGAGGCCTATGAGACCCACCTAAAAACATTTTAGTATTTTATTTATAATACACTCACACACATATACACTCAAAACCAAATCATTACTTAGCCTAGTGAAATGCTAATAAGTGAAAGCTGCTTTGGTTGGGACTTCATTAAAATATACTTACATTTCAATAAGTATATGAACTGTAAACTGTTCCGTTTTGGACTCTGGAATATTTCTTGTGGGTTCATTAACCCTTTTTTCTCTACTTCCTACAGAACTGGCTAGATTCCGCAAAAAAAATACAGAGACAACTGCGAAGTAAGTATTTAATCATATTTGGTGGTTGTTAAATTAATCTGTTTCTACCTTTAATAACATTTATAGGACTATAGAGGTATATGGATATACTGTTTGTAGATGTACTGGAGTGAAGACTCCTACAATCTTTTCAGTTCTCTGAGGTCTTTGCTGTCTCTGCTCTTGGTAGGTTCCATAGCCAAAGCCACTTTTACTAGCTTTTTGAATCTAGGTTTCTAACCTACTTGTCCCTTTCTTTCCATGTTCTCATAGAATCCCTGAATGACTTCAGATGTCCCACTCTAACTAGCAGCTTAAGCTCCCTCAGTAGCTTCTGACTCTGCAGGTTGTGTTGCCTGTGGCTGGCTTTGTGATATCTGTGCCAAGAAACATTATTGCCACAGAGAATCTCTGCTAGGGAATTTGGATACTTAATTTACTTCAGGGTCTGTGAATGACTGAAGCAGAGAAGGTAGGCAGCCACAGGCAGCTAGAATTTTTAGTCTCAAGAACAAATTCTGAAGACTGAGAAGTTCCTAACAGCCTTCCTAAGACTGTGGGCTCCAGAGAGAAATCATTTCTCCCAGAGCCAACCTGCAAATTGCCCTTTGTAATGTTGATTTTATTTCCTTACCTACCTAAAGTGAAAATGCTGGTACAAATCTAAGCTTTGCCTTACTGTCCTTTTCCTCTGCCTTCTGTCTCCTTATTTTCTCCCATTTCCTTTCCTTGTAGACTCATCTTTTTCTTTTTTAATGTCTTTTATTAGAGTGATCAAGCTTCCTGATTTTCCTGGTACTGAGGGGTTTCTTAGAATAGGGGACTTTCTGTGTTAAAGCTAGAACAGTCCCAGGTGGTCTGGCCTGGTTGGTCACCCTGTGCTGTGATTATTGTTCTAGCTCTTCAGCATCCTTTCTTTGGCATTTATTATCTTAGTATTTCATGCATTCATATTTGCCTCATGATGGAAAAAAAGAAAAAGAATAAGTAGACTTGGATGATATTCTCATAAAGAAAGAATAACTTTATGTACCAGAAAGCTCTGGAACTTCCCCCTGTCCCTTCTGCAGTTGTTTTTGAAAAGCTTCCCAAAGTACATAAATTCAAACAGATACAGACCCTTGATTCTTACACTTTCTCTGAAGCCAGACCTGCCAAGTGACCCAAACATAGAAAGAACAAGGCAACCTCTGACGCATGATTAATGTTTCATTGAGTTATTTCCTATTATTTTGTTTTGGTTTTTGTTTGGTTATTTTTATGTGCCACTCACTTCAGAGTCATAGAGATTTCCTAACTTTTGGAAGGCAAAACTTCACTGATTACGAATCACATTCTTATGTTTTGATTTTTTGTGAAGTTTTTAGAGAGTTATTCCAGGACTTTTGCCCTTGTGGTTTGGCAAGATGAATAACAGTAACAAATAGGATTGCACTTTTTAAAACTATTGGAGCCAGGTCTTTAAATGGCATCCCATACTGTCCCCATTATGCAGGTAGGCTGAGGAAATTAAGTTTTAGCTGTTGTACCTACCTTTTACTTTCTGCTTGTGTTAAAATGGACAAGAAGAACTTCCTTTTCTGTCTTAGCCTGATCTCTGCTATGATTTTATTTTACTTTTCAGTTAATAGACAATTAGCAAAGATAAATGCTATTTTTTTATGACAACCAGCAACCTACTGGTTCCTGTTTAAAATTTGCTTGTAAAACCTTTATTTTCTCAAACTTACACAAATAAGACTCCATCTATCTAAGGTTTTCATATGATTAATATATAAACACTCCATAGCTAGGAGGACTGTTTATATATAGCTAGGTAAAAATTATGATGATAACAATATATAATTAAATTAAAAATTTAACTAGAAAAAAATCACTAGATTGTAAGTGTTCTTACCACAAAAAACATGTGAGGTATAATACATATGTGACTTGGCTTGATTTAGCCATTCCAGAATATATACATTTTTTTTTAAAACATCTTACAGTATAACATGAATACATAAACTTTTTATTTGTCAATTTTAAAAAAGCTAAGCATTATTGGTACATTTCAATAGCTTTTAGATTTGGAAATATATTCTAAAATATAGGCATTCTATTAGAAATTTTTCCTGTAGTCATATCCAGACAAGCATGTGCTAGTGTTAATACCTAGAAAACAAATAAACAAGGAGCCATTAAGAAATGATAATCCTGTGATGACTTTGCTTAATTATGGATTACCAGTCACCTCAAACAAGTATGTACCCATCCATAATACCTGGATATTTGACACAGTCAGGATGGTGCTAGAGGCCAATAAACGTTACATTTCATAATATTCAAGAAAATCCTATATCTCATTATTATGTTTTTTAAATGTGTAAAGCAGAACTGAAATCTGTTTAAGGTTAACAGGATTGAGTTTATTAGTAAAATAGTGATGTATTGACCCAAAATCCAGCAAAAGTATGTGTATGTACACTGTAGCCATTCAGTAAATATTTGTTGACTGTTGAGTTTGAGGAAAGGGAGTGTGCTGATGGTGAGAAAAAAGACAAAATGACACATTGAACAAGAAAATAGGATATAAGAAATTTTTCTTCAAGTCTATAAATTAAAGATCTGGTGAGATCTTCTAATTTTTAAAGAATGGAATAACTTACACATGCAACTTCTTTGGTTTTTATTTACTGTGAACTTTGAACAGAACTCTAAATTCAGGCTAGTGGAATTATTTGAATCACTTTAGCAAAAGAATACCTGCCCTTTTCCACCATCCAAAACATGATATATCACAACATCAGTTAAATTTTAATGTATAAATGATATGGTTTTAATTTTTAATAAATTGTTTATGAACATGGTTTGATATATTCATTCTCTATGTCATAATACAGCAAAGTATGTGTTCTATGTGAGTATACTTATACCTACTCTATAGAGTCTGGGAAATAATTTTATTGTATTGTCTTAAAGTATTGTGAAGTTTTTCCACATCTTCCTTTCCTTGGGATCTCTTTAACACTTCAAATAGTCCATTAATAATTTCTTGAGTAGCTATTGTGATCAACTGATCATTATTTCTCTTGCCCTAACAATGTAGAAATCCTGAAATGCTTTTTTTTTTTTTTAAGGACAGAGAATATTTGGCAACTAGAAATCCTGTGGTTATCTCAGAACTATTACATGGAGGTCATATTAAAATTTTTGCATAATGGTTCACCATATAAAACATTTATTGAAGTGCCACTAAATGTTTATGAGAAAATGAGCCTATTATTTTAATGATGGGTTATTTATGTAATTGTTTTCTATTTATTTTTCATTTTGTTTTGTAAGTTATATTTTTTAAATAAAAAATAAAATTTTTCACATTGATTGATTTATAGTGAGACTAGTCTGTACTGTTTGAACATTGACCTTTAAGTTTTATCAATATAGTCATTCTCTTGATTGGATAAATAACCATGATGTTTAATAATTACAGATCTTCCCTGGCTGTTCACTTTTAATGTGAAGTTTTATCCTCCTGATCCTTCTCAGTTGACTGAAGATATCACCAGGTACTTTATAGTTGCACTTTTACATGAACCTTTCCTTATAGCTGTCATTTATTTCTGTGCCCTGGGGGCATAGTGGTAATTTCAGGATTGAAAACCAAAATAATTTTTCATAAATTGAGTTTTGGTGGTTTCCTTGGAAATTTAATTTAAATTTAAAAATTTTATTCACTTTCTTTAACTTCTTTCTATGTATTTGAGTAATGAAAATTAAAAAAAATGATATTGGCAACTTTGTTTCCTATGTTATGCTTTAAAAAGTCACTGATTGTCGCGCCCGCCTCGCCAGCAAGGAAGACGCGGCAACCGGAGTTCTTCTGACAGTGCTTTAATGGGGTTCCCTTTAGACTTACATGATGCGGAAGACCCTGAGCACAAGCTCTCACACACTTATATACTCTAAGGAAGGAGGGAAGTGATGGGGATAGGTTAAAAGCGCGCGAGGGTTATTACTGATAGGCCAAGCTAAGATCCTTCATATGCATACTTATAGAACAGGCCAGGACTTACTCTGCGCATGCGCTGAACTTGTTTACTACAGGCGGGCCACCGGAAATCGGCGCCATCTTGTAATGGCGTTGTCACCGCGCCCCACAACTGATATTTAATATTTCAGATTTTGATACTGATGGTTTTTATTGTATAACTCATGTGCCTGTGTACTAAACTCATATTACTGAGATGAGATAAAGGTAGAAAAATGAAATTATTTTTAAAAGCCAGTTGAACTAGTAATTTTTTTGTTCCCTCCTACCCAACCACACCCAAACCACCAAAGTAACAGAGTAGACTTTCTCATGTAGAGTCCATAGCTATTTCATTTCTGTCTTCTCTGAGATTGTATGGGCCATAAGAGCATACATTTAAATTGCAAATAAAGGATTCAGTTTAGGAGCAAGAGAACATTTACTGATTCTGAGTTTTTGATAACTAAGGAACATTGTGACTCAACAAGTACCTTGAAATCTTAGCCCTGTTATATTGGCTACCAGTGATAGGATATCTTAGCTTTGGTAAGAGTAAGCATAAAAAGTATTTTCTTTTTTTGTAAGGGTGATTTTTATAAACAGTATTTTTAAAAGGCTGTTTACATGGCCAAGGACAACTGGGTGTAGTGTATATACTTTTGGGAAACTAGAAGGTCTTAGTGAAAGACTCTGCTTATCTTTGGTTCCTGTGTCTTAGATGCTCTGCTAGGCCATTTTTGTTGTCAGACAAGTTATAGAGGTGCTTAAAAGAGTGCATAATTACCATGTGAAATAGGAATGATAGAGATTTCTTTCTAATATTGGATAAACTGCAGGCCTTTTTCTTCCTCTACTACTTGTTGCTGAATAGGAATGTACTAATTAAGCTCTGATTGAATTAGCTTCAGCTAGTAAATAATAAATAGTAGCTTTTATAACTGCACAGTGAGCTGCCTAGAGCATAAAACCTGACTGGTTGGCATGTGTAGGATGTAGAGCTTCACTGCAGGAGTGCCTGGAGTGCCTTTGAACAGTGCATGTAATTGGGGTTTTGTGACCCAACGCCCTCTGTGTACATATGCTCCTTCTTGCAGTAATTTGTTTTGGGGATGATAATCCTTTAGTGATTGCAAGTTTATAGCATCAGTAAGTGCTTTGGTTTTCTGTATAAATGGAGTTTGAACAGTCTTGTCTTCCTAAAGTGGGAGGAATGATATTGTCTGCTAAGCTAACAAAAGGTCTTAGTGGTGTAAGCCTGAGACCAGCCACCTGCCTGTACTTGTGGCCTGGCAGCTTCAAAATCACAGCTTCAATATCACAATATCAATATCACAACATTTTGAAGAGGGCAAGAACGCTATTTGGAGTAAGGTATGAAGAATGCTTCGTAGTGCTGTGTGAAGAAGATGGAGTTGGGAAATTCAGGAAGCTTTTGCCATTTTTGTGTGGAGTTATTAGGGCTTAGACTTAGGCTTTGAAAACAGAGGAAAGGACCAATTTGAAAAGTAGAGGCAATAATATAAAAAGGAGCAACAAGATGGAATCTTTGTGTTTAGGTAGTAAAACCAAACCTTGTGTTTAGGTTGTAAAAGTATCAGAAAATGTAGAGAACTAGCACTATTACTGATTAGAGAATTTGAGGACAACTGGAGCCATAGTTTAAAATTTAGTTTTCTAAAGTCCAATTATGCTCATGTTGTTCTGCAGGTCAAGGAAACATATAATCCTCCTTAAAAAGAGAGCTCCTATAATGCATAAAATACCCAAATGCAGTGATAGTGAGAAGACTTCCATTCTCTCAGAAAATTATTTGGTATTTGCCATGCAGCAAGTACTTTGCTAACTGGGGGACTGTGATGATGATAAGCAGAGCCTGGGGATAGATTTTGGGTGGTAATCTAGGTATAACCGAACTGACCTGGAACCATGTGCTGGATTGTGCTCTGTGACCCAATAACAATGAGGCCTGGACCAGAGGCCAGCATTCCCTATTTGATCATGTCAGGGAGAGAGCAGGAAGAGAATTGGGTTTAAAGAGGTCAGGCCAGGCAGAAATGTCCATAGGAAGAATGTCTATGGGAAGAAGGTGGCCAGCCGCCAATAGGAATGGTGGTCTCCAAATGATATTCAAGAATGAGGGCACTGCCATTGATTTCAGAGGGATGGGTGGTGACCTTAACAAGTGGGGAAATTCGAGAGTGGAAATCAGGTTTTAAAATGTCACCAAAATGAATCCATAGTAGGGCTGAAAAGAAAAAAATCCTCATAGACTATAAATCTCATGTTTCTGCATGTTACTTAGTAGCAAGCAGAAATTCTTTTATATCTATATAGTAAACCACTTGGAACATTGAATGAGAATAACTATTATTGTAGCCAATAATTATTATAGCTACCTAAGCTATTGATTCCCAGGCATCATGCCAGGTATCTTATTTATATTATCTAATTTTTATCCTTATTTTCAAAAGGAGGGTAAAGTTCTTCTTATCTTACAGATAGGAAATTCATCTTAGGCAAGTAAATTAACTTGACACTGGGTCACATAGAGTCAGCTCTTCCTGATCCAATTGCCATGCTTTTTCTACTAAACTGAGCTAGCTGCCTCTTTAGATAGAGAGTAAGTGGACAAGTAAGGGCTTCAAAGTAGAGATTTACAATTGTTAAAGTTCTTTTGGAAAAGGAGAAATTAATATGAAGTAGGTAGAGATGATAAAGGGGGGCTAACCTTAGCTTTTTTTGGCAAATGATTGTAGTTATTTTAAAAATTTCATCAATCTTTACAACTTTTGAGGGGCATGCTAATTTTTATTAAAATTTTAAATCCAAGGAGTTTAACTTATCGAAATTTTTACTTCAGTCACAAAAACTCTTTATTATAATAGTAATCGTAGACTATTACCAGAATTATCAGAACAGCAGTTTAGTTTAGTTTCCTTTCTATTAATTAGCCTTCTGGCCTCAGTTTACATAAATAAGCCACAGGTTTAGGAGCCCAAGGAGCAAGGTGAGGCTTCTTAGAGAAAACTGGTTTTGCTATGGAAAGGAAAAGTCCCTATATTGTATATTTGTTTTCAAAGAGATGTTAGCATTTAAGGATTCTAAGTGCTGCAATCTTAACTAATTGTTTTCCTCTTGCCCTTTTCTCCCTCTGTTCCTCACAGATACTTGTTGTGCCTTCAGCTCCGGCAGGACATTGCCTCTGGCCACCTGCCCTGCTCCATTGCAACTCATGCCCTCCTGGGATCCTACACACTGCAGGCTGAACTTGGAGACTATGACCCAGAAGTGCATAGCAACATTGACCTCAGTGAATACCAGTTTGCTCCCACACAGACTAAGGAGCTGGAAGAGAAGGTGATAGAGCTGCATAAAACCCACAGGTCTGTTGCCTTGCTTCCTAAAGAGAGAATGGCTGTGGTAGATTTAAGTAGCATCTCTTTGAGCACAGTTTAGGGGATCATCCAGTTTTCCTTTCGGAGCTTCACCTAGCACTGATCAACATAGACTGCTCCTCTTGAGATATCCTTTCATTGTTTTTGTGACTGCAGTATGAGGACCTATGCTCATGAGAGTAAATGCTTCATTTAATGTATAAATGTACTTTTTCCTATGACATCTCCTTTTTCCTACCCCCTAGAAATAAATATACCCACATACATAATTGGCATTTACTTTATATTTCTTCTGCCTTTTAATTGTTTCTATTACTATATTTGATAAGAAAGCCAGGGAGATAATGAAGCACTGGGGTTTGAATTAGAAATGTAGGTGGTGATGTATGTAAGAATAGTAACAGAAATGTGAGGGGCAGAGTACTTTGGCTCATGCCTGTAATCCTAGCACCCCAGGAGGCCAAGACGGGAGAGTCACTTGAGGTCAGGAGTTTGAGACCAACCTGAGCAAGAGGGAGGACCCCATCTGTACAAAAAATAGCAAAATAATCCATGGATGGTGGCACATGCCTGTAGTCCCAGCCACTTGGGAGGCTGGGGCAGGAGGATCACTCAAACCTAAGAGTTTGAGGTTGCTGTGAGCTAGGCTGACGCCACGGCACTCTAGCCCGGGCGGCAGAAATGTGTTGGTGGTTCTACTATTTACAGAAGACGATCCTTTGGCTTAGCTACGGATTATTTAAATTACTTTGGTAAAAAAAAAAAAAAAAAAAAAATTACTTTGGTAATTAAAATCATACTGTACTTTGGGAACTTTTATATCTGTGTGAAAAGAAAGTCGATTTTTACACAAGTTTTTTATAACCCTAGCTAAAAAATTGTAGTGTATTCTGTATCGAAAAATTGTAGTTTCATAAAATATTTACTAAATGATCTGAAAGGAACTTTCAAAGACTGGAAAGTTTTAAACAGGCCACGTTCATTTACTTTTCTTTAAAAAATGCGATATTTCACTCTAAATATTTTCTTATTAATGTTATTTAAACTCTACTAAACAGACATTTATTATATAATTTTAATATGAAATGTCAGGTACTGAAATGCCTTGAGGAATATGAAGATTAATGGGACATGGTCCTGTTTTCTAGGAGCTTAGAATTGTTTAGTTAGGGATATAAAGATAGGAATGGAAATAATTTTAGTGTGGACAGAATGTGATAACATGCTATCTATCATAGGGGTAAAATCAAATGCAAGTAATTGTGATCTTATGATCAATCCTAACAAAATAAAAGGAGTTAGAATTTGTCTATTTCAGAAAGATGAAATCACTGTTTTTTATTCTCAGTTAACTTATGTTATACCCATTATTGCTGTGGCTTTTTTCCCCAGTGGGAATAATAAAAATCAACTCTTTAAGACAAAAATGGTAAGGGTGGAGGTATACCCCGTTACACTTAGCAGGTTTAGATTGGAGGATCTTAAGAGAAAATTGCTAGAGGTTGAGAGTTGAGTCTTTTTACCTGTTTGCTACTCTTCTGCCAACTTAGCTGGGTTACTTCCTCTATCCCAAACTCTCCAAGCTTAGATACCCTTTCCCTCATTTTGACCGCATTTGCTTTGCATCCACCAATAAGATAATATTATGTTTTTGATTCTCAGGGGCTTATCTCCAGCACAAGCTGATTCTCAGTTCATAGAAAATGCAAAGAGACTTTCCATGTATGGTGTTGACCTACATCATGCCAAGGTACTGTCAGTGGAATGGAAAGTAGCATCATCTCTGTCTGTTCACTGAAGTTTTGAGAGGGCTCCACTTTCAGAATGGCCTAGTTCACTTTTGGGAAAAGCCTGTTTGCCTACACTTGAGGGTCTCTGTAATATTTCTTTGACTAATCATGGGATTATGGTTGTGGGAGGAACCATTTATTCTCTCCCTACTTCCTCTTTTCCCAGTCTTTTAAATTAATACCTTTTCATGGGTACTTATCCTAAGATGCACCTTGTCAGACTTTTTTACCCCTTACCCTGGTTTATTCTGCATTCCAGTTTCTGGTAGGCCAAGTACAGTGTCTGTCCCAGCTCTCTCTCCCACCTTTTTATCGAGAGGGGGGAGCAGATCTTAGCAGCCATAACAGGGCAAAAGTGGCATGGTTATGACCACTTCCAAAAAGCTTCTGGGTTGTGAGGGAGCCTTAAACTTAGGCTTTTTCCTATGAGTATGTTTTTGTACTTTGTGAAAGATAAAATAGGCTGGCCCAGGATCTAGGTGATAAAGCACCTTCAGTCTAATTTGAGTGGTGGTAAAATAATGGAGTAATGGATATATGGAGAGCTGATCATGATCTTGAAACACACAATCCTGAATAACATAGTCCTGAAAAATCAAAATCCTGAAAAAATACTTATAAAAATTCTTTAAAAGACATTTATTTACATTTTTAAAAGGGGATTCATTTGAGAAGTATAAAAACATGATAGAGCACTTCACACGATAAAATAGGCAGTAATGTACATATTTTTACAAGCATAGATACTCAGGTATGCTAGTGACAGTCACATGGATATAGTAACAGTTATGACTAGATGAACACTGTTCATAAATATGTCAGAAAGGGAAATCTGTACATGCATATTAATATAGTTGGTTGCTGGTAACAAACATCACCAACTTCATGATTCTAGCTTAGATAGTTACATAGTGGGGAGAGTCAAGGAGGAGGATGGGAGGCAAGGTGAAAGACAGATTTGGTTTTGAATATGTGTCCACAGTGAGCTCCACATACTGAGAAACCCACAGTTGCTGCTTTTAAAAGACCCTGCTAATACCTAAATACAGTTTAGAAGCCCAGATTTTATGATTTAGGAAATCCCAAGGAAAGCCCCCCACTCAAAGATAGCTTTCCTCACTACACTTCAGATGAATAATTCTTGCATATTCACAGTAGAAAATAGAGGCAAATAGAAGAAAATAAAAATCACTTATTTTAAATAAATAAAAATTATTTCTACATAAATCTCTTTATGTAGAGATAAGCACTGTGAATATTTTGGTATGTTTTCCTTCTTGTTTTTCAAGGTTTTGAGCAGTTGCATTCTCATGCCTTTCTAAAAGGGAGTCATACTATCAGTATCATTTTTGTTAGGCTTTTTTCTTTTTTTTAACTTGCTATTGACATTTTTCCATGTCATTAACTAGTGCCTGGCAGCAGCATCTTTAACTATTATATGCCTTTAATTTTTAAAGGTACATTCACAGACACCATCTCATTTAAAATTTAAATATTTTTATTTTACAGCTACATAGAGCAGAATACAGAGAATGACTTGCTTAAAGCTATGTATTGTTAAGCAGTCCCATCTGCCTGATACCTTCTGATAAATCCTCCTAGGAGGTGAAACAGATCGTTCTAACATCTGAGTGCTTTCAGGTCATTTTCTATATGATGGGGAGAGGCTGGGTTAGCCAAGAAACAGAAATAAGAGAGGAAGGAGAGAACAGATTTGGGACCAAAAAGTGACCTCCCAAGGTCATCTCTCCTCCCCCTTTTTTTTAAAATTTAAATTCATGTTTCATTCTTTCACAGATTTTTAACAATTATACACAACTTTTAACATAAAGATAGTGAAATCTCAAGGATAAGGAGGCTAAATCCTGCTATTCTTGCCACATATATAAATCTTGCATCTCTCTGCCTTATTGATCATTATTAGTTAGAAACCAGTTCTTAGATGGCAATGTTACAAGGCTTCTGGAGTCTTGTTTTTAAATGTTATATCTTAGAAAACTAAAAAGTTATGGGCTATATTATAAGCATAATATCAGTTCTTGCTGTGTAGTTAGGAGCAGAACACTAAAAAAATTCAAAGTAACCTTCATTCTGTTTATTATCTGATAGACTTATTAGATAATATATTAACTTATTAGCTAATCAATCAGGTAATATCTGATAAGTAAGATATTTGTGGCTTATTGAAAAGATTATCTGTAGCAGTTTAAAAGAAGTCTTCATGTAGTTTAAGATTTTGTGCCTTTATATTGTCTTGAGATAAGATTTATTTATTTTTTATTAGAAGATTTCTTAACTGTACATTCATGTTAGGATGAGTTGAATAAAAGGACTTTTGGCAAAGGTACAGGAAAACCACAAGAGTAATGCAATATCCATGGTCCCCCTGGGGTAGTGTCTGCAGCCCTGTTAACCTCTCTGGTCTGAAGAGGAAGGGCAGCCTGGGTCCCTGAACCCGAAAGGACAGATCTGTATAGAGATGTCTGTCTGGAGAGGAGCCATTGTCAGAGGGACACATCCAGCCTGACATGACCATGCAGGGAGGGAATCTGGGTATGAAATACCCTGACCTTCCTTCCCTTCTTCTCCATGATCTTTTGCAAGAACTTTCCATGTACCATACCCATTTGGAAGCCAGCTGCCATGGGATCCTGTTGCTATCCATATAGGGCAGCTTCCTGGAGCAGTAAGCAAGGCAGAGAAGGTGTTCCTCTTTATTTTTTTCTGCCTTTGTTGCTGAGTGGCATAACTCAAATATGGAAGGTTAAGGCATGCTTGTTCCCTTTCACTTCCTACCCTTCGTCTTTAATTTCTACTCACACAAATACTGATAATCCTAAAACAATTATGTAGAACACCACCAAAATCAACCGATTTACTTGAGTCTGGTTTGTGTTTATTTTTAAGTCAGATAAAATAGCTTCCTTGTCCTGTCCAAAGATTCAAAGATTGCTTCAGACTAGAGATGTCTTGTTCAATGTTTCAATCGCACGTTGCCTCCTCACTTATGATGAGAACATGCCGTCTCGGGCAATCTTCCGCCTTGCTCCCTGTGGCCATGGGCAGTGATGGTTTTGGCAAACACACCGTATGGGTCTGGTACCAAGTTTCTTGGGCACCTGCGCCTGTTCACCCCAGCTTTTGATTCTATTCCTAGAGAGAGTTGTGGCTGCCAGGATAAGGGTGAGTAAAGCAATAGATTAGATTTTTTAAAAACCTGCTCAGGTTGATCTAATGTAATTTTATTTGCGTGTATCAATTATTCAGGTATCACAGCAGAGACAGTTGGCATCAATTACCTAGCACTATACTTTTATTTAAAAAAACTCTTATAAATTGTGTTGAATTATTCTTAGTGTTAAGGCAGTCAAAATATTACACTTTTATTGAATTGAGACTTAGACTGAATTTCGTGTTTGTTTCAGCATTTTTTGTGAGAATATGTTTCATGTTGTTAATGATCTCTGAGAATGTGAATGCATTTGAATAGTATTCTTCAGTTTCATATGTCTTGAATGACATCCAGTTCTTCCCTTACAGATAAACAATGATTTGTATATTTTGAATATTTGTGCATCTTAGATCTTCAGCCCTACGTAAAATGGGAGGAGACAATTTTTCCCCTATGCCTGTAAATTTATTTGATTTTTAAAAGATCTTTCAGGCTTGTGATTATTCTAGATTGTCATCTATTTTAAATTAGAGCTCTGGGGAAATAAAACTATTAATAACTTCAATAATAGTCTGCAGTCTTTTGAAATATGCCAGCCAAAGGAGTGCTTAATGAGAACTGGATGTCGGCACTCTGACTTATTGAAAAGCTGCTTGAAAGAATTCAGAGATTTCAACACTGTCAGCCTAGAAGAGAAATTTTCTGTGGGGGATTAGTCTTTTACACAATATTGGCATAATTTTAACAGCTATTAGCTAGAGTAGTGCACCTGAGATAAATTGGCGTAAAGTAAAATGCTTGAACACACCTGAGATAAATTGGCCTAAAGTAAAATGGTGGGCAACAGACTATTTCTGAGGGCTGGAATAGCCTTCAGGGAAGCACATTTTATCTCCCTTATCTTTAGGATATTTAATCTAGTTGTTTCCTTTCTTCCCCATTAGCCCTTGCAACAGAGCTTGAGAATATATGCATTATGCCTCTTGAAGAATATTGTGTCCTAGGTCATGTTGCCATAACTCTTTGGCAAATCAGATCTGATCCTTGAAGATGCATAGATTTAAACGTGCATGTGTCGTACTATTTCCATTAGCTTGTATACTGTCACTAAAATTTAAATACAAACCTTGTTAAGTTGGCATTCTTGGTTTGAGGGAGCTAATTAGCTTCTCCATCCTATAACTCTCACAGCTTTAACCATGATTAATTGGGTTATGCTTGGCAGGACTCAGAAGGCGTGGACATCAAGCTGGGTGTGTGTGCTAATGGCCTCCTCATTTACAAAGACAGACTGAGAATCAATCGTTTTGCTTGGCCAAAAATCTTGAAGATTTCCTATAAGCGCAGTAACTTCTACATTAAAGTCAGGCCTGCAGAGGTAAGCAATGTCCTGTTGCCCTTGGCATATCTAATTAGTTGCGTCAGTGTGCTCCTTTACAGCCTTGAGCTAAATGAATTCTTTTCCACTAAAATTTTAAGAAAATTGAACTATTCTTTATTCCATGGTAAAAAAAGTCAGGGTTCTTGTTGATAAAACTGCATATACATATTTCTGTTGCTAAAAAACAAACACACACACAAACTTTTTACAGAAAAGAAGTACTAAGTACCTGGCACATAGTGGGGGCTCATTTTTTTTTCTTATTGAATTGATTAAGTGGTGGAGATCAGTAGGAAGGTGATAAAAATGAGTTTTAGTGGACATTGAAGGATAGTTGGTTTATGTCGAACAGTTGATACTTTTCACTGAAAATAGTAATGCAGTCTCTGAAAAATTCATTTTATATGATTATATTAGATATACACTGTTTACCTTTTTTAAGAAGAATTACTTCTTGCAGAAACATCTGAATCCATGTATTTCGGTAGCTGCTTATCAGCTCTTAAGGGAATACGCTGACTTGTTTTGTGGATTTATTCCAGATGGAACAGTTCGAGAGCACCATTGGATTCAAACTGCCAAACCACCGGGCAGCGAAAAGGCTATGGAAAGTGTGTGTGGAGCATCACACTTTCTACAGGTAATTTTAGGAAAATGGTGTGGTATTGCTGTTGGCAGCCTTTATGGACTTGGAGGTGGTAGCATTGGATAGTGTGATAGGTACATCCACCTACTGCCCTTGGGTTTCTTTATGCTCTCCTGTGGCATATCTCCTTTGTCTGCAGACCCCTCCATGTCCTTTTCTGTGGTTGAGGCCATGCCTTGTCCTCACTCAGACCTGAGCTGCCTCTGCAGTTGTCCTGATTCAAACCACCTTTTTTCCCCACCATGACCACACTGCCCTGCGTCTTCTACCATTCTTCTCTCCACTGTCACTCATGTTAGGTTCATTTAGATGTTCTTACCAGCCCCCTCTTGGCTTAACTTCTTTCCCAAACCAGCCTGAAGCCTGTGATCTGGTCCCATGGCTACTTTGTGGGCAGTGTTCTAACCCCTCTAACCCCTCTTGGCACATCTACTTTCCAGTCTGTGGGTCCTGGATGAATCTTGTGTCCTGACCTCACCCCTTCTATACCTGTGAAGTGCTACCTTAAATAGCACAACTATTGTGACACATGAATTATTCTCTGTAACAGAAAATAGCACAACTCTGTGGATTGGTGCTATTACAGGTAAATAATTTCTAGCATCAGCTGGATCCTCTCTGTTCCAGGGCAATCAATTAGTCTTTTTACTTCCTTTGCCATTCTAAATGTTCATAGTCATCTTGAGTCCCTAGGTGCCCCTGCCACTCTTCTCTGATGCCCTCCATTGTGTGGTTCACTGATGGTAGAAGCTGTGGGTCGTGAGTGTTCTCAGTGTCATGCACCTTCTCCTTTTCCCCTTTCCCCCCTAACTAAGCATCATTTTCCCCTCCAACCCCCCTCCATTCTTTCTGTACTCCCCTGTCTCAAGGAGAAGATAGCCATTCCTCTGCTTTGGTCCCTCATTTCTTACTTCACAAAGGATCCTGCTTTGTAAATTGTTTATTCTCCAGTGGGTGCCTTTGGCTTCTTTGGCCAGTAAATGTGTCCATGTCTTGCTCCTTTAAAACCTAAAAACCGAAACCAAAAACAAAAATTTCCTTTGACCACTGAGCTTGTGTCCTGTCTTCTTTTGTACTTTTCTTCAAGGGCATATTTTTTATGCTTAGTTTGCTTATCTTCATTTTCTCCATTTCCTCAGTTTCCTATCACTCTACTGTATAGGGCTGTGTGTCTAGACCATTCATCTTTAAAGTCTTGGCTCTGGACTTAGCGGCTAATGCTGGTCTACCACATATTAGCTGTGTGACTGCAGTAAGTGACTTTACTTTCATCATCCATAGATGATGGATGTTCTGAAAATCAAATGAGATAACACAGACAAACTTAGAATCATTTCTAGTGTATTTTAAGGTTTATCTTCATCATCATTATCAACATTATTCTTAGTTTGTTACTACAATTTGATATTTTTAAAGTGAATTATTAGCTGGCACAAGTAAGTCCTTCTTGAAGTTAAAGTGACCAATATCTATTTTCAAGACTGATATATTCATTTTAGAGGAGAAATATAAAATGAACTTGAATCCACCTGACTCAGTTACACTGATCCTGTAAATCTTTGAAAAGTTTATAATTTCTCTGGGTAGCCATGACAAATTTCTCCTTGATTCAACATGAGCCTGCCTCCTATAAAGCTAGTAGATGACATTTATGACACAAGGCTAAGCCAGACAGGTAGCAGCTTTTCTTGTCAAATAATGGTAATAAAAGCAATAATTCTTTTAAAAATAACAAGTGCTAACATTCATTGAGCATTTTTTGTTGTCAGACACAGAATCGATTGGTTTATATCACAGTAATTTATTTATTTCTCACCTCAGGCAAGGAAGCTGGTGCTTAGCGGTGGTGCCCACAGAGGAACACAGCAGCCAGGCACTTGAGCAGAGGCAGGGGCCCAGCTCTCTGATCCTCGAGCCTGCACCCCTCACCTCTGTGCTGTGCCTCTTACATTCTCCTAGCAGGAGTTTCTGAGATGTGTTTGGCCCTATAAAGCCTTATTCCCTTTCATTATTTTTGCTAATACAGCATGGACTCCAATTTAAAAGTAGACCAATTTGCTCCTGCAAACCTTTGAGATAATGGTTAACAAAAACTCTTTTAAATTTTAAAACCTCGTATAGCATTGCTAACAAAGCACTATAAAATGGTTTAACACAGAAAGGGAAAATCATACTTTGTCTACAGAGTGCTTGGAATCAAATAAGCAGGTTTTGTTCTGTTTTAGTTTATCATAAAAGGTGCAAATGATTTTTTTAGAAAATTACAGTGGCTTGCAGATTGAAGCCATTAACAAATAAACAGATCTTTCTATTGATTGATAATCGGTTAGGCTAATATTAGTCGAATGAAATATATAATAATAAAGATGCTACCTTTGTGTGGGTATCTACTTGAGTCTGTCACCATTCTAAGTGCTGTACAGGGATTCAATCTTTTAAGCTTTATGACAAATCTTATGGGGCAGGTGCTATTATCTTCACTTTACATATAGAGAAACTGAGGAACAGGGGAGTTAAGAAACATGTCCATGGTCCTATAGATAGTAACTGGTGGAGATGGAATTCAAACCCAGACAATGTGGCTCCAAGTGCCTGTAAGTGTACTCACAGTGTTACGCTGCCCAGTTGTATTTGCAGCAGATGTGCTTCCTTGTATTCTTCTCAATGCTTATATTGTTGATCTTACTGGTGTGTAAACTAGACTAACATGATATTCTTGTAGCTTGACATTAAGCTACCACTTAAACTTGGCATTGTTGAACCAGAGTAATCCCTAATGTGTTAGTGTCATCAGTGGCTTCATAGCCCTATAGAAGCATTTCCACTAGTTAAATGTATGATTAACTTTAGTAATTAAGTGGGTTTTTCTTAAATGTTCCTTTATATTTCATAGATAAACATTAATGATATTTGATGTATAATGGCAAAATTTTAAAAAATTAAAATGTTAATATACTTCAGTAAAATATATAAAACTTGAATTCCTTTTTGATGCATCACTGATGCTAATCTTGCTCAAGGCCTTTAATACTCTCTATAAAGGTTAGTCCTTTTTTGTAGTTTTTATATTCCACAAAGTGAAATGATAGATGCTTTTTGGTGGTTTTGATGTTATTCTTATGAAGATAGGGTCTTGTAGCAAGTTTAAATTTCTACAGTTCCAGCATTCCAATTTAAGAATATGCAGCTCTTCCCAAAGTACATTTGGAGGCACTGGCCATCGGCAACTTGTACCTTCTCAGCAACATCATCTCCATTTCCTTTGAAAATCAAGATATACTTCTGCTACCCCACATGAATAGATTCAAGCCAAGAAAGCCACAGTGTGTTAATTCTTCTTTTATCAGTTTAATTTTAACATGCTCTTTTTCTGGGTGGATACAGTTGATGGAGGATTGGTTCTCATATTTATTACATCGTGATTCACCTTGACTTTGAACTCTTCATTGTTTCATTGCAGAATATTTCTAAAACATTGTACAGAAAGTCTAGAAATACTTGAAACAGTAAAGAGCTCGTTAAGAAATTTCTCTTCCTTGGCAAATGATAGGAAAAGTTTTAGTGGAGTTCATTTTCTTGAATTATCAACTAACGTCTTTTTTATTTAGTAGATTCTAAAAGATCTCTGAGATTATCTTTCTGTTAAGACATTTTGTCAACTCTTGATCAGACAATGAAAGCAAGACAATTTCAGTTGTATTCCAAAAAGTTTGGCTTATTTACTAATAACATGCTTTTGCATAAGTCTGGAAATGTTTGACATCAAGGAAATTTGACTTCATCCATTATGAACCCAGGGCTTAAGCAGTGGAATTGTGCTGACAAGAAAGGGTCTTAAGTCATTTCTACAGATGAACTGTGTGTTGTTTTCTTCATTGGAAAGAATCACTTGGTGGAACAGATTCCTGAGTTTAGATGTTTTTTCCCAGAAGAAATAGGCATAAATATTAAGAATTACTAATGGTAATGAATTGCTACTTGGCATTTATAGCTAGGAGCAAGAATTCAGACATATGTGTTTATATAAATGATTTAAGTGAATACAAATAAATAACCTTTGATACACACTGAGAACAGCTGTTCTTTTGCTTAGGTTGAGGAAAACATATTATTCATGAATACATGAATGTGGATTTACTCATCACTATTTACTATTATAAAGCTGTGTATGTAAAAGGATTTATAATGTTCTTTTTTCATTAGAAAGTTTATGTAGCATTGTTTTTGAGATATTGAAATACATAGATTTAAAGTTTGATTTTTTAAAAAAGTTCATGAAGTCTAATTTTGCTCCCTTTTTCCCCCCCCCCTTCATTTTCCCTATAGGCTTGTGTCTCCAGAGCAGCCACCAAAGGCCAAGTTCCTGACCTTGGGGTCCAAATTCCGCTACAGTGGCCGCACCCAAGCACAGACCCGCCAGGCAAGCACCCTCATAGATAGGCCAGCACCACAGTTTGAGCGCACATCTAGTAAACGGGTCTCCAGGAGTCTTGATGGAGGTAAATACGTTTATAATACTTTTGGATTTCATTTACCTTTCTCTAATCCAATGAGGTTACAAAATGTTGATCTAGTTAACAAGGCCATCAGAGATACCCTGGAGCAGTGGTCCCTAACCATTTTGGCACCAAGGACCCGTTTCATGGAAGACAATTTTTTCACAGATTGCGGGGTTGCCGGTGTGTACATGGGGGCCGGGGAGAAGATTGTTTCAGGATGATTCAAGCGCATTACATTTATTGTGCAGTCAAACCTCTCTGCTAATGATAATCTGTATTTGTAGTCACTCCCCAGTGCTAGCATCACTGCCTCAGCTCTACCTGAGATCATTAGGCATTAGATTCTCATAAGGAGCACAAAACCTCACATGCACAGTTTACATAGGGTTTGCACTCCTGTGAGAATCTAATGTGCTGATCTTAGAGTAGGTGGAGTTTATGTGGCAATGCATGTGATTGGGAGCGGCTGTAAATACAGATGAAACTCTGCTCACTTGTAGTCCGCTCACCTTCTTCTGTGCAGCACAGTTCCTAACAGGCCATGGACCAGTACTGGTCCGCAGCTCAGGGTTTGGGGACCCCAGAAGTAGAAGGATAACCATTTTTTCTGAGTAAATAAAATGATCTTACTTACAATTAGAAGAAAATAATTTTATAGTGCTTTGAAATTGTCATTCTGAATATCCTTTTTTTTTGTGTGTGTGTGTGTGCAGGTTGAACATCCCAAATCTGAAATCCAGAGTGCTCCAAGATCTGAAACTTTTTGAGTGCCAACATATGTTCAAAGGCAATGCTCATTGGAGCATTTTGGATTTCAGGTTTTTTAATTTGGGATGCTCAGTGAGTAAATATATATAATTCAAATATTCCAAAATCTGAAAAAATCCAAAATCTGAAACACTTCTGGCCTCAAACTTTTCGGATAAGGGATACTCAACTTGTATTGTCAGTGCACAAAAGTATTCTTTAAGAGTTCTTATTCATAAAATGTTGGACAAACATGTTTTTACTGGTTTGACTTGGTTGTGGTGTGTTTTATGTGGTTTAATTTCTTAAACTTGTTAATTAATGGCAAAATGTACTTCTAGGGGCTTTTTGGTGTGGTATGAACCTTAATTTAAATGAACATAAAACATTCTTAGCATCATCTAATTTTTATGAGTTAAAAAACTCCTATTGGAGTGGACAAAACTTTGATGTTCATAGTTTCAAAGGATTAGTTTTAAATACAGCATTTTAACAAAAAGAAAGGAAATATAATACATTTATTCTTTAACCCAAGGGGAGATATAGATAAATATGAGTTTTTTATCTATTAGAATTATAATTAGGTACATATTTATAGTTTTATATAAACTATAAATTGATGATGCTTTTCTTTATGTATCTTATTATCTGGTCTAATTTTGGTTTAATAGGTTTCCTATAAAAGAGCTAAGATTAGATTTATATTAGAATGCTTTATGAGGGACTTAATTTTTCTATGTAATAGAAAATGATTAGTATGGATAATTTTTTACCTGAAGAAATAGTTTTCCAATGTTTTTGGTTGATTATTCTCAAAAAAAATATATATGTATAAAATATTAAATTTGAACATTTTATTTTAATACTGCTTATCAACAGAAAGCTTTTTTGATTATTGATATTTTTCAGAAATATTAACTTAAATAAATTATATTCTAAATGGGTAAAACAGACCAGATAATGCTAACAGAGAAAAAAGCTCTCATTAGTGAAGGATTGAGACCCACTGGCCTTGATCTACTTTTCCTAGAAAAAAACTTGATGCAGGTGGATACACAGATATTTCCTAGGATTTATTGGTGGGCATTTTGGTATATGGTTATTAAATCTTGATTCTGGTGAATCTTCCATACAGTTTTATGAGGCCACACAAAAAATATATAAGGGGAACCATGAAACATGCTTCAAACAAATGTCCACATTGCCAAATGGCAGTGACTTAAATTCAGTGAATTATTAATGTACTGTAGCTGTCAGAATATCTGTTAGCTTATCAACGATTCTGAGCACTTTTCTAAGTAAATCCAAAAAATGTGCCAACCCATGTAAATATTTCACAAGCCTTGCCCCTTGCCACAGAGAATTTATACAAGTGCTGAATAAATGCAGTCACTGTTGTTTAATGCCTGGAGAGAAATCATTGCTCTTTTGGGAACACTGTCTGTTTTCAGCATTTGTTAGAAACTATGAGGCTCTATAACTCTTATTACTGCAAATTTTAGTGTTTAAAAAGAGCAGTAATCCAGTGCATTTTCTTTGAGGTATATAAACTGTGCTCAAGGAAACCCACCATCTTGTATGGGCAGTTAGTGCAGAGGGTTATAGGAGGTCTGTATCTGAAAACAATGATTTTTACAAGGAAAAGCAACAAACATGGCACAGTAATCCATTATTTTTCCCTTTGTGTTTGGGACACTGTAATTCATCAGATGGGCAAGTCATCAAAAGGATTATTGTGTTTTTGTGACAAATAGGAGGCCTTTTCTGCCAATAAATGACCAGACAGCCAGCGAACTCTTGGGTTAGGGCTTATGTTCTCCCTTTTTTTCCCCAAAGCAAAGCTAGGCTGTAACCTGGTACTGACCATTCCCCATCAGTATACCTTTTTGTGTCCTTGACATGGGCTGTGTTTTCTTTTTCCTGTTTACTTTTTAAGTTAGCCTAGAATAATTTGGGTATATAAATAATCTTCCCTTTAAAGTTTGGCAAATTAAAAGAAATCCTCTAGTGATTACATGGACAGTTAAAAATTAATGTTCTATCTAAAGATCAAATATCAAAGTAAAAATCAATCTAGAGCAGCTATTTTAGAACAGGGAGACTCCTCTGAGATTAGAAAATTGAACCAAAAAGGGGGCAAGTCAGTCAGTCATTTAAGAGAGCAAATGACCAAGATGCATGGGAGTGGGAGTGGAGTGGGGGCAGGGAATGATTTTCTGAAAGTGGAGAGTATGATGAGCAGGGATGCTACTTAGACAGGATCACATGGGAAGGAAGGACCCTATGAGATTTTAAGGGTGAGGAGGCAGCCATGAAAAGGACAGGAGATATACTACAGCATTCCAGGAAGCAGAGGTGGCAGGGATAAGGGTATAAGGGATGGAGAGCTCACTGGCTCCTTACAGAAAGAAAACTGCAAACTGAGATTGATCAATACGTGCTTAAAAGTATGCAAAGTCAGCATTTTGTCAACTTCATTTTGTAACTTGTAATTTGCTATTCATACAACTTTTAATATCGTTACATTTGAAACCATTTTTAGGTCACATATTTTTCATTTTGCAATAATTCCCGAATATATGAATAGGTGCTTAAAAATCATAATCGTAGGCTGGGCGCGGTGGCTCACGCCTGTAATCCTAGCTCTCTGGGAGGCCGAGGCGGGCGGATTGCTCGAGGTCAGGAGTTCGAAACCAGCCTGAGCAAGAGCGAGACCCCGTCTCTACTATAAATAGAAAGAAATTAATTGGCCAATTGATATATATATAAAAAAAAAAATTAGCCGGGCATGGTGGCGCATGCCTGTAGTCCCAGCTACTCGGGAGGCTGAGGCAGAAGGATTGCTTGAGCCCAGGAGTTTGAGGTTGCTGTGAGCTAGGCTGAGGCCACGGCACTCACTCTAGCCTGGGCAACAAAGCGAGACTCTGTCTCAAAAAAAAAAAAAAAAAAAAATCATAATCGTAAGCAAAAGAGTTAATCATAGTCATATACTTTAAAAAAAAAAAACCTCTGGCAAATAAATAAGGGCTGGGAATGTCTTAAAAGGTGAAGTAGTAGAATTTAGAAGTGTAAAGAACTGGCTACTTTTTAGAAGTATATCAGAGGAGCCTGTTGGACTTGCTGGTGTTAAGGGGCGAAGGAAGAATCCTAGAAAATGTCCAGGTTCCTGGCTCAACTAAATGGTTGTGAGGATGAGAGTAGTATTTGGTGAAAAAGACAAATCTGGGAAAGAATTGAGTTTTGGACAGGGCAGGTGAGGGCATGGTTTGAGAGGTATCTTTTGATACCTAGATTGAAAGTGCTTGATGCCTCCCAAGTGCAATATGGTAGATCACACACAGCCCCTTACCCTTTAAGGGCTTGCAGCCTAAAGGCTTTTGTGTTGACTGGGCTTCCCTAGAGGCATGGAACCAAAGGCAAACCTCATGGTATCAGTAAAGTACTTTTTATGCAGGTGAAATGATCTCACAGTAGTTTGGGGAGGAGCTATAGATGGAGAGAGAGGTTTTGCCACCTTCTACTTACTCTCCCTTGTTGAGATTTTCAGTTGATCTGCAATATGACAAAAACTGTGTATATGTTTCTGCCTATCTGAAGCAGAGATGGAGAGAGAGCACATGAGGGCCTGGGATGCTAGGGGTGGGGGCAGCAGGGAGGTGTTCATATATTAGATTTACTGTAGGTTTTGTTGAGGCATGGAGGAGGAGAGGAGTTAAAAAATGAAAGATATTAGGGCCGGGCGCTGTGGCTCACGCCTGTAATCCTAGCTCTTGGGAGGCCGAGGCGGGCGGATTGCTCAAGGTCAGGAGTTCAAAACCAGCCTGAGCAAGAGCGAGACCCCGTCTCTACTATAAATAGAAAGAAATTAATTGGCCAATTGATATATATATAAAAAAAAAAATTAGCCGGGCATGGTGGCGCATGCCTGTAGTCCCAGCTACTCGGGAGGCTGAGGCAGAAGGATCGCTCGAGCCCAGGAGTTTGAGGTTGCTGTGAGCTAGGCTGACGCCATGGCACTCACTCTAGCCTGGACAACAAAGGGAGACTCTGTCTCAAAAAAAAAAAAAAAAAAAAGAAAGATATTAAACAAGATAAATGCTCCAAATTTACCTTACTGTCTTGTCTTTTAAATGTCAAACTAAAGATTCCTTTACGGAGAAATTTTTAAAACATATTGAAGCAAATCATTTTAATAATTATATAACTACTTGTTGCAATTGCTATATTCAGATATAAATCCAAGCAAAAGCAAAAAGGACTCAAGAGAATTAAAATAGTGCTTACCTTGTAATTCTGACATTTTGCCTGACTCTGGTGTTTCAGCTGATCTTAGAGCTCCTCCTACTGGCCAGTTCCATGATCAGAGTCTGTCCTTCAAAACTGTGATTTGAGACCCTGGTGTAGTCCAGTTGGTTAAAGTTTAGAATACTTTCAGAGTTTGGTAAGAGTTTAAAAATGAGTTTATTTTATATGGTGGTATTTTCAGAGCTCAATCAATATTCCTGTTCTTGTTAATTGTTTACATGCTTGCTGTTTATCTGTATAAGGGGAGGAAATTCCATAAAGTTTTACCATTTATATGTCCTAAAGTAAGCCAAAATTATCATTCTTCATTAGCTCCAATTGGTGTTGTGGACCAAAGTCTTGTGAAGGATTTTCCTGTCTCTGCTGGGGAGATTTCAGCATATGGCCCTGGAGTTGTCAGCATTGCCATGGTACAAGATGGGGATGGCAGGAGGGAAGTGAGAAGCCCAACTAAAGCCCCACATTTGCAACTCATTGAAGGAAAGGTATGGTATATTAGTACAGTCTGTGGTTTTAAACGTTTACGTAGACTAGAGGCTATCTGTTGCATTTTCTGTTTTAGAAATCAAATGTTTAAAATTAGTCATTGTATGTTCTTTGTTGATAAAACTTCCCACCTTTCAAATATGTGTAGGCTCTTTCTGCTTGGACTGCGGTCTCTAACCTTTTTTTTTTTTTTTATTGTTGTTCAAAGCAAAATATTTCCATGTAAATTATATTAATGCGAGTAAGTAATTTACTGGCCTTTTTGTCTGTCTTCATAATATCTAAATGAAAGATAAATCCCCAAATTATAAAAGCTATGATGATTTGAAATTTATATTTGGTCTGTTACAAGTGAATTTTAAAATGTAGTTTGTGTCTTGATTATCTTAATTATGTTGATTTAAATTTTGTACATGAACAAAAGTGTTCTTTATGAAAATTTTTTCATTAATAATCTATAACCGATGAAAAAATTCTTAAGCAAAGGTTGTTTTGTGAATAGCGAGTAGAAGATAGTGTGTTGCTGTTGGCTTTATTTTGTGCATACACCATAGTGAATGGAGAAGTAACCTATATTGTGTTCTTAAATTTGTCACTGTTAACTATGCCAGTAAAATCACTTGAATATTGATTTGAAGAGTCTTTGAGTTCTTCAGATCTCCTTTCCATTATCTGCACCAAAAAAAGAAAAAATGAAATCATCCTATGGATTTATAATGTTTACTAAATTTTAACTTTGAGAATTTTAAAGACATGCAACATGAATTTATACAGAACCTGCTAAATAAAGTAGCTGCCAGTGCCTCAGGAATTCCTGCACCGATAGCCTCTAATGTTCAGCATGGAGGATGTCTCAGGGACCATGTGGGCCCTGTCTTGTGCCACAAGGACAAATGCTTCATATAGCAGGTGACAGTAAATTATTTGTATTCCGTGGCTAAAGAATTTGTGACTGTCATATTGAAAAATTATTTGGTTGAAAATTATTTAAACATCATAGAAATCATGTCCAACAAGATATCCTTCAACTGCTGAGAAGTTGTCAGAATCATATTTTTATAATTATGCTAACAAGGCACCCAGGAGAGTGAAAAACAGAAGAGCTCACTCAGCATTTCAGAAAGTCTCTGTTCCATTTTGCCTAGTTTGACACATCTAGGTTTTTTTTTTTAAGTTCTTCTAAGTTTCAAAGGAAATCTTGCTTGTCTTCAGCAAATGACTGGGTATGCTGGTATTTTTGGTAATGCTTTGGATGTCTGTCAGCTACCAGGTTTAAAAGTAAATAATGCTGTTTGAATTTCAAAGGATTTATTTGCAACCAATTGGGAAATAATAATTAAATCAGCAGATACTTATACATTTTATGTGATAGAAGTAGTCTAGTCTTCCCTCTTGAAAAATGGATCATGTATTCATTTTTTTAACTATACTGTTTAATATGATCCCTACTTTAGAGTAAAAGTTTCAACTAACCTACCCATTTCTTCTTTTGTCCTCTTTCTCTCGCATTGTTTTGCCTTTGACTGTATCCATTGCGTAATTTCACATTCAACCATGGGTTTGCTTTTGAGATTAGACTGTTTCCATGTACCCACCTTCACCACTCTTCCACCGTGTTTCATCATTTTCACCAAACCTACTGCCAGTCCCTGAAATGGACTTGCTTTCAGACATTTCAGAGGAAGACCCCTTTGGGGAGGCTGAGCAGATCACCCTAGACAGCTTAGAGCTCCTTTCCACAGGTGAAACATCAGAGCAAGGGGACTCTGAAGTTGCCATACCTGATTCAGTCTTGGATCCTACTGTAGTCCCTCCTTGGCCTGACTGTCCTTCTCCCATCCATGAGAAGACTCCTAAAGCGGCTGACCATGATGATTCTGAGTGTAGTTACTTCTCCTTCAGTTTCTACAAATGTTTCCCCTCTGGCTTCCCCTCAATTCTTGATGAAGATGGGTATCTTGCTTTCCCCAGCCTCCCCAAGGTCTGGGTCTCCTTCCTCCCCGCTGGTGTTCAGCACTATGTCCCCATCACTTCCCCGTCATTCATTCCTTCCCTTATCCTCATCTTTGGGCTACTTCTCTCTGCTTCTCAGTCGGTTCCTTTTTCTCTCACCTTCTCCCTTCCTCTGGCTCTATCCCTCTGCTATCTGGAGGCTAAAGCCACCTCCTTTAATGTTGCTTCTGACTGTGACTTGAATGACAAAACAGAGGAAGAAGAAGCAGTTGCTGGTACTACTACATAAGCTTGAATTTGTGGAGTCAACAAATCTATCCTTTATCTTCAACCTTTCCTAATATAGAGTGTAAACATGTGCATAAATTTCATTGATTATCCTCAACATAGTATTATCTGCACATTTTCACATATACTATGTTTTAGTGCATGAGAAATAGGTGTAGACAGTTCTCTATTGATATCTGTTGACCAGGTCCACACTTTGCTAGTTGAGAGCAAAATTACAGGGTTATTTTATAAATATCTAGATCATACTAGATTTTTAACAAAAGGAGTGGGCGTGGAGGGAAACCTGTGTTGCCCTTAACAATCATACTGGGTCTCTCCATTTTACAGACAGGTGTTAACTGCTATTCATTTAGGATGGAAACTTTTTGTTTTGTTATAGAGTAGAACTTAGGATGATGCAGTGGACATTAACTGTAATTGATGTGTATTAGTAGAACTCTTAGTATTGTTATTTCTCTTGTTAGAAATCCAAGCTCATCCTTGAATTTATGAGGAGGATGAATGTTCCTTTACTCCTGACATTTGTTAGTCTAATCTCAGAAACTCCTTATCTCCCTATTAGTGTAGCATTTGGGGACCAGATGAATTTTAACCATATTTTCCCCCAACTCTACATTATGTATTTATATAAAAAAGTGACTGTCAGGTCTTTTGTAAGGAAGAACTGTTATCTTTAACAAATGTGTATAAAAAATGAAACATGGCTTTTTCAAAATTTAGATTTATAACACTGGGATTATGCCTCTTAGTGCTCTTTTATTTGAAATTAGGTGTCTGGTTTGAGGATTTTTACCCCTATATAATCCAATTTTTTTCAAGTTTACTATCTCTGAACTACTAAGTCAGTGTTAATATGTGTAGTAGGTTTTTGATTGTTTTGCTACATGTGGCCTGGTGATTTAGTGTCTTATTCTTTGAGTTCCATCAATACATAGAGTAAATCACAAAATTTAGAGTAAACCTAAAGAAAAATGTGAAGATAATACAATGAGTATGCATTGTAGGAGAAGCCACAATTGTTAAAAAGTTTACCTGAGGAATACCAAAGATCAACATTTTAGAGATTTAAGTGTTGACCAAGGAATTGGAAGATGGTTCTTAACAGATTATTGAATGGCTGTGTCTTGAGCTCCCTGCTTAACCTCACAAAAATACTATGAATAGTAAAAGTAAGCATTTTGAACTCTCAGATTTGACACTATGTTCCCAGTAAAGAAGGAAAGGAATATATGTTATGAATTAACATGTAAAGCTTAAAATGATCTTCTTTTGATATCAGAACCAAGATTTTTCATTCTCACTTTTCTTTTCCTTGAGTTAAAATTCTGTCCGTATTTATGTTAGTTTTAAACTTCCAAATTCATTTTTTGGGTCATTAGATATTGAGAAATGTCTGACTATGAAAAATTGTTTTTGTTTAAATAATTTTATGAAAGAAAAGTGGCTATATTTCAAAGATTATTTTTCAATACCCACCATTTTAATATGAAAGTAGTTGAATAAACCAGTTTTCTTCCCAAGGAAAGAAATCCATATAAAAAAATGAATACTAGGGTGAAAATTTGTTCCCTGATACATAGCTAAAGACAAATATTATACCTTGGCCTATCACTAGTTGATTTAGACATTTCAAATTAGAACAGATTGAATTATGCCATTTTTGCACTCTCGTATTTTCATTCATGAGTAAAAATTCAAAAGCAGAGCACAATCTAGGGACTGAGAAAGAGCGAAGCTTCCCTTCTCCATTCCACCTTTGCAAAGGATCATTTCCGTCATTTGTACAACACTGTAGGTGAAGAAAGAACAAAGTGGCTTAATATTCTGCATCTTCTGAGGGCCAGACAATAAAGGTTGGTAACGCTAGCTCATCATTTAAGTTCAAATCCAGCTTCTTTGCACGCATGGTGGAGTTTCCACTAATACTTCCCTTCTTTCTGGCCGTCTGTGGTGTGACTTTCAGGTGAAGATGGAAGAAGAGGAAACACAGCTGAAGGAGGTGGCTGGGTTTTTTCCCCTAAAGTTAAATATCTCATGGCTGCTGCCTGCCATTATTGTTGTTGGGGGAGGATGCACTTTCAGGGTTTATTTGTGAGTTGTGTTTGCTGTGGCTTTTAAGTTTTTAAGCTTTTTTTAGTTGTTTTTTTTTTAAATGTCTTAGACTGTCAAACTCTGGGTCATTTCTGGTGCTTGATGATTGATACACTTATGTTTATTTGCCTTTTCCCCCTGTGTGTGATTTAATTTCACAGAAAAATTCCTTGAGAGTAGAAGGGGATAATATTTATGTCAGACATAGCAATTTAATGTTGGAGGTTTGTATAATCTAAGAAAACAACTCTGTCCTAATGGCTGCCCGGCTGCTGTGGACGGGAGGTCACGCACGCACAAGCTGGCTGGCAATTTTCCTCAAGCACAGTGCATGGAATGCATGAGGGGACTTCAGCTCGGGAGTGCATGTTACCAGCCTTGACTGTGTTCTTTTAAAGTGGCTTAGGTAGGAATGTGTTTGCTAGAAGTTCTCAAAGTGACAAGTGGGAAAATCAAAAGTTCTATTTTGTCAAATGAAAAAAGTTTTTCTTCAGTAATCTTGAAGTCATTGTATAAGCAAACCTATTCTCTAATGGATTATCTCAAAGGCATAGAATCTGAAGTACCATGAGCCCATCTTTAATATATTAACCAAAACAGATATTTGTTGATCGGACATTAAATCATTTGAATCTTCATCTGTGCCCAGTTTTTTTTCCCCTAAAAATCCATGTGAGTAGGCATGTGGTTCACTTAACGTGTTCTGTTTGAGAGTATGCTAATTAAAGGAATTTTATTGATTAGAAAGAAAGAATGAGCAAGAGAGAGAGAAAGGATAAAAAGAAAGCTCACCCAATTAGGAATGTAAATTATGTTTCCCATGTCACGTGAGAACATTTTTTCCTTCTTATTTTAGGTAGTATGTGGCAATGTATTTGATGGAGAACTGCAGCTCTCAGTAATCTGACTAATCTGGTTGCTTTTGGTAGCTTTGATAACTGATGGAAATGTATTTTTGCCTAATTTACTAAAATGCTATAAAGTGTATTAAATAACATGGCTTTGAATAAATGTAAGAAATGTGCCTGATCTCAAGCCACAGTCATATTTCCGTGCCATGCAAAGATTTATAGATTTTCATGAGTTTTTGCAAATGGCTATAGAAGCTCATAGATGAGCAACTATGCTTGTGCATGAATATGGAATATCTAATTTTATCAGATGCATGACCTGTCCTTTGAGAGTGGGAAGAAAGCTATAATCCACAGGTGTCCCCATGATTTTTGAAACATAAGAAAACATTTAAAATTCAGTTAAACCACTTCTTGAACACTAATTACCTTTTATTCCTGCACATACTATTTATCAGAGCTAGTCTAAAAAGAATCCCACAAACACCATTTATTGGGGCCTATTCCCATGAAAATTGACCTGGTAGTTTTTCTTGTATCTTTGTCTGTGTAAGGATCATTTGGCATATGGGGTCGCTGGGCCCCACTTTTGTGCTAGGCAAACGTGAGACCAGTAAGTGGTTCATGTATTTCATAAAAAGGCCAAACAGAAGCACTGCTGGAAGCAGTAGTTTTTATTCCTTAAGGATTATAAACCACCATTGGAATTTCCTAGGAAAAAAGTCAACCCTTGGTTTTTCCATTTTTGGGGGGTTGTCCTAGTTTGACATTTCCTTCAGGCTAACTGTGCTTCTGAGTCCACCTTTCTCTGTTTTGTACTTGATTTACTGTGTTCACAGAATTCAATTTTACTTATAATGCTAATCAGAAAGGTAAATTTGCTAGAATAAAGTCATGGGCAGAGTTTTAAATCCAAGTATTAGAAAGAAGCATTATTAGCTATTTTGATGATCAGTTCCATGGCTTGCTTTTAATATAAATAATTGTTCCTTTAAAAATTCCAAATAGAGAGGGAATTATAATCTTTTAAAATATAAATCATAAACAATTACATATTGAGACTTTATTTTCAAATTTTGATGAACTCATTAAGGTTATTTGTAGGTAATAATATGGCTTTTGAGACTTGGCATTTTTCTTGCTTTACTATGTTTTTTAATCATAAGATTGCTTTGTCTTATTTTTTGGTTTTATTTTCTATTTTTGTCCTACTGGGTTTTTTCCTTTTGGATTTTTCCCCTTTGTTACGTTACATATTGCTAGGACCTGGATAAGGCCCAGGAGGACATACTGAAACATCAGGCTAGCATTAGTGAACTCAAGCGCAATTTTATGGAATCCACACCTGAGCCGCGCCCTAATGAATGGGAAAAACGACGTATCACACCTCTGTCCCTACAGACACAAGGGGTATGTCACTAGCTATTTGTTGGCTATATGTCTCACTGCAGCTGTTCAGTAAAAGTCAAGTTTGTTAATCTCCTATGTTAATTCTCAGGAAGTTAAAAAATGTTCCCATTTAATTTTTTTGTGTGTAATCGCTAACAATTTTTTAAATACTAAGTATTTATTAACAATGTAATACTTTTTGGCCTAGTGCTCAGGTAGACTATATGCTTCGAAATACTTTTGAAATAGTTTCAGAATAATTTCACTATTTTCTCAGGTAAATTGGTGGTAATGAATTGTTTGTTATATAGGGCATTTTAGAAGCTAACATTATATTGTATTTACTTTTTAGTTGCTGACTTCAAAATAAGAATGTTTACTTAATAATTAAATCATTAATAATTACAGGCATGTAGACTGCATTTAGAGCGGCTTAAGGTAATCACTGAGGATAATGAGTTAAACTTAGCTTTAAAGACTGATGAGCCCTGTTGAAAACTGCCATAATGTTATATATAATACAATGTAGTATCGGAACTTCCTAGTAATGAAATGAAGAATAGTGTTTTTAAAACATTTCAATCATACCATTTCTCCACACTCTTTTTTTTCCATCGTTTACTTCTCCTCACCACTAATATAAGTATGTACTGCCTTTAGAATATATTCTCAAAATATTTCTCTATTCATTCTTACCTACATCTGTTCCTCTGTGATGCTTCCAAATCCCTCCTGTTACTGACCAAGAACTTCCATGGGCTCATTTATCATGTGTGAGGAGACAGCGTTCATACTATATTTAATCTACAGTTTCAAAATTATATAAAGATAACGTTATCCTACAGTTTCATCTTTCCCTTTTCAGCATCTTGTCTGACTTGAATGTTGCCAAATTATAGACATTTGATTTAGATACTCTAGTGCTATTTTGATTCACCTTTCCTTAAAAAGCAAAGCTGTTAGTTGCTTTAAATTTCTAAGTTTGTGCTATTGAGAGGAAAATTGGTCTTAAAGAACAGATGAGCAGAAATCATTGCTGAACTGAAAAACAAAACTTTCAGAAATATAGAGATTTAAAACACCATGCATGGTCTTATGAAGTTGGATACAACTTAAATTCTTATTTTCAGATTTTTCTGAAGATAATCATGTCAATTTTAGCAGTCTATTCTAGAGTGGTGTGTTCTTTGGAGACACAGTGTGATGACATGCCAAAGTTTTGGTCTTCCCTTATGTGCCGTTGCATCTGGTTTGTTCCACTGACCTACACAGTTGTTTTGTGTTTGTACTGCTATAGGTGTAATGTGTGTGTCTTATTTGTTGATTGTGTCTATTGTTTAAAACAATAGAGAAAAGGAGACCATCTTTTCAAGGATATTTTATCCATGAAGGAGAAGTACCTGATGGCAGCAACACGGAGAGTTGAAGAAAAAGCTCAGGAGGCGGACAAGGTGTTCACCTTGCATCCTTGGATCTACTCTTGCTTTTTTCCCTTTTGCTTTTACTTCCATCCACAGCTATAAGATATATTTATTTTTTCTTATGTGTCAAACTAAAAATATTCTAGAAATAATATTTCGAGATTTTAAAAAGTTAAATCCCCACATATAGAAGCATAGTATCACTGGGTGAGAAATACCATACTGTAGAAGCACTTTACTTGAAAATTCAAAATTTGAAATGCAGAAACATCACCCACTTTAGGTGATAAATCATCCCTAATTTGATGTATGTGGCTGACAGTCGGGAAACTCTTATTTCATGTGAAAATGCACTGTCTGTACAACACTTATGCACACTGTGGTGTTAACACTTTGTATGTGCTTTAGGTTACTAGTTTACTAATCACACATGGAAACCTTTTGAATTTGCATTTTTAAGATTTTTGACAGGGAAAAAGATTTTGGTGCACCATAGCAGCCTTCCAGATCTCTATGTTTCTCGAATATATGAAATATCTGACGTTAGTGAGGAAGTTAGCTTTCCATTGCTTTTATATCCTCATTCTTCTCTTTCTCCTGATTTTGCTTAGCCAGCTGGTCAGTCTGCTGTTCTCTGGGACTGGAAAGTGTAGAGTCTATTGGAGACAGACAGCAGACATGTAAATTAGTAATTAGAAAATCTGGAGTACTAAGAATTCATTGTTAAGAAAGTGAGATACAATGTTGTGTTGGGAGGTGATTGGGAAGGCTGCTTTTCTATTGTGATCAGGAGGAGATGGCCTTGGAATCGAAACCTTAATGATGACAAGGAGGTGCACATGTGAAAATTTGTCAACATTTAAGGAAGAGCAAATACAATAGCCCCAACGTAGGAACTAGTTTAAGGAACTGAAAGACCAAATGACAAGGGTTTAGTGAACAAGGGGACAAGGGGAAGCATGAAGGAAGGAAAGGTCAAAGAGGTTAGACTGCAGATCACATCAGGGTCTTAAAGACCACATTAACAGTTTGGAGTTGTATTGTAGGAGTGATGGGAAGCCTTGGAGAGTTTTAAGGTGAGTGGTGACATAACCCATATGTATCTGACAGAAATCCGTCTGGCACTGGATGAGGAATGGATTATAGAGGATGTGGATGAGAATAGAGATTAGTAATGAGGAAAAAGTGTTTCCCTCCCACAAAGTAGGTTTTGTTAATCAATGGAGAGTATTTGTCAGAGCACACTATGGGGTGGAAGGAGGGAAAATAAATAGAAATCCCTAAACTGGAATTTGAGGTCTAGTTGAGATGAAATATTTCCAGAACGCTACAAATGAGAAAGATAATATCAAAGCTAAACCAAGTGACATATTTCTATACTTTAAAGGTTAGCCTGAAATCCAAAACCAATTAGACTCTGTGTATAATGAGGCCTTTCATATGCTTAGAAATATGTATTTTTAAATATCCCCAGGAGCAAGCTAAATGGCATCATTTGATCAAATTTAAGGTGGTGATGTCCTTGAACTTTTTGCAGTAAGAAAGTTTGGAATTTGGGTAGCGATGTTTAAAATTATTATTTTTCTGGATCTCATTTGAGGAATGTATAAGATGTCTTGTCATAGAAGTTATAATAAAGTGATGTGTGAAATTTAAATCTGGAAAAGCTCCTCAATGGTTTATCCACATTTGAAGTTACTGTTTTTTTCTGTTCCTTTACTCTCCAGTACATGCAGGAAAATAAATACTTATTTGACACACATATGGATTGTTCTGAATACTATTATCCATTGATCCACTCACCCAGCAAACATTTACTGATTACCTACATTGTATCTTTTTTTTCTTCAGATGATACACTATTACTAGTTGAAAGTATGTGAACAGTTGAGTCTACAGAATGCCTTTTCAATTTCTGTCTTTGTTTTATCTTCATTTTGGTTTGATTTTGTGGAGTTTATCATTTATCTTTGAATTGTAATCCTTATTGAAAGTAAAATTAAAAATTATGCATAAATGTATAATTTGTCCAAATTTCCATAATAGGATTTTATAGATTTTTTTAAAAAGCAATAGTAGTTTCTTGTTTAAAAAATAAATATATTGGATTTTCAAAATGGTTTTACTTTGCATTTGAACTATTTTGAGAGTAGAGCAGAAAATTGGAAACCAAGTCATTTAGTCTTTAATGGGTAAATAACTATTATATATCATACCCTATGTATTGTGAGAATTATGATTTAAACTTGCATAAAATATTCTCTGATGAGCCTATAATAGAGATTACATAGATTATAGTTTTAAGGTACTTTTAAAGGTATTTTATTGAATAATTAAATGCATGGCACTTATTTAAACTCCTCAATGATCTCTTCCTGGGAGGGACACCTTTTCCACCCAACCTGCCCTTAGGGATGGTGTAATTATGGGCATGGCAATTAAGCTGAATTAGTCCAGAAGGTTTTTCTCCCCTGACTATTGCAAGTTCTTACCTCACTCTTCCTACTCTTCACCCCTTTAAGCTCACCATCTGAAGGGGCATCTCAGAATGTCATTTATTTTTCTTTAAGATCTCTGAATAGTGAAGTTAATTCGGAAATATTCTTGCACACTTCTGACGGGGGGGGGGGTGGAGTTCATGGTGACTCTTTACTGTTGGCATTTCAGCTTTCTGAGGACAGTTGCCAGCTTTCCTGCTGTCCCCTCAGACAAGTCAGGAACCATTTCTGACTTTGAGGTTGAAGGTTAAATTTGCCTTAATAGTTTTTCAGGGACAGATGATTTTTACATTGCTCATTGAGTTTGCAGTTCTGAGTTTGTCTTCCTATTTTGATTTTTTTTTTTTACCTGTTTCTTTTTGCCCCCCCCCCAAAGGACTATTTATTCATCCCATGGCATATTTAGCATGTCTGAGGAATTACTGTGGGTTGCTGTTGGAATGTTTGTTGTGCGTAGATTGAGTTAAAGTGGTGTGGGGAAGGGAAGAGAGATCTTAAGAATTGGAGTGGTAGGACAAGGTCTTACACAAAATGTGGAATATTAAGTGGGCCTCAGAAAGGTGGCAAAATTGGAAAGGCCCAGAGTGCATTGGAAGGGACATAGGCGCAGGAAGGGTAGAAGTACCCAAGTTCTAACAAAGGAATAAGGGTTTAAGATCTAGGGCCCCCTACAGAGACATTCTGTGTAGAAAGAGGTCAAGCCACTACCTCAGGGATATAGGAAAGTGTTTGGGTAGGTGGGTTGTGCTCAGTTTGTAGTAAAGCTTCAGTGATAAACCAAGGCATTTTCACTGGTGTCTGTAGGTTACAGCTACAAAGATTCTCAAGCTAGGTGGAAAACACGTTTAGGCAAACCTCCACAACAGCAGAGTCTTTCAGAATCCTCATCTTTCTTCCATTATATGCTGTTCTGTTGTTCTTTCTTGTGTAACCTTTCCTTGCTTTCCAATAGGTCACTGCTGTCTGTCCTGACTGATTGTTAATTCTTTGCTTTTCCTTTTCTGACCTCTCTAGAGCCTAGAAGAGGAGATAACATCCATTTTGTTTAGTGAAAAGGGCTTTTCTGATAGCATGAAAGCCACCTTCACTTCAGCCACCGCTT